ATCATCTTCATTTCCCTCTGGTCCAAGTGGCGCCCTAGCTGATTCTCATGATACACTCACCACTCAGAATAGCGAGCTTACTGAGATAGTCAATTCTCTTCGTACTGCACTTCCTTCATCCTCTAATGCTACATTGGCTATCTCAATTAATATTTGCATGTATGGCTCAATCCTCCCAACCTTGGTTTCTAGAGTCTGGTGCTAGTTCTCATATCTCTAGTAATTCCTTTATTTTTCATTCTCTTCATCCTGTTACCCATAACATTATACTTGCTGATGGCTCCTCTCGACCTATAGTGGCCAAGGCACTCTTTAGCCCACTTTATCTCTCCTTACCCACTAGTCTCTATGTTCACTCCCTTTTAATTTGCTTTCAATTTGCTTTCTATTAGTCAATTAACTCAGGCTCTAAACTGCTCTATAACCTTTTCTCCCTCTTCATGTGTTTTACAAGACCTCAAGAAGATGATTGGTTCGGGGCATGAGAATGATGACTTATATTTCTGGGATACTGTAAGCTCTCCTACTCGTAGTTCTACTATTTTGAGTGCTACCTTGTCTCCCTTACAATGGCATTTCCACTTGGGTCATTTATCCTTGGCCAAGTTTAAGTTTTAGCTATTCCTGGTTTAAGTCTTGTGTCTCGGCTTGAATGTGAAGCGTGTCAGCTTGGCAAGCATCACCGTAGTTCTTTTTCTAGTCGTAATATTAGTTGTGTGTTCGCGTCTTTTGATATAGTCACTTAGAAAATATGAAGAAGAAGAACTTCGAAAATATGAGGAAGAAGGAATATATTTCTGTTATATTCAAAACTTCTTATCTTACAAGACCAAATGACACTCCTTATATAGGAGATATTACAAACATCATCATAACCCATTATATGCCACTTACATATTATATATTACCACTATCTACCACCAACACCACTATCATATTCTATACATGCCACTATCTACCACCAACACCACTATCATATTATATGCATGAACACAATTTTCAGCATAGTCTATATAGACATATGGGGTCCTTCTCGCACTCCCACTATTAATGGGTTTTTTTTTTATTTTGTTATTTTTGTGGATGATTATTCTCAGATGACTTGGTTGTTTTACTGCGGTAGCAATCTGGCTTGCCCCAAATACTTTCTAAGTTTTATAATAAAATTGTTACTCAACTTGATAAATGTATTAAGATATTTCGGTCTGATAATACCTTAGAATATGTACAATCTGTTGTGAATACTTTTTGTGATGATCGTGCTATTATACATCAAACTAGTTGTGCTCATACTTCCCAACAAAAAGGTGTTGCCGAGCAAAAATACCGCCATTTGTTAGATGTTGCTCGAACCTTGATGTTTAATATGCATGTTTCCAAACAATTTTGGGGTGATGCAGTGCTTACCACCTGTTCTCTTATTAACCGAATGCCCTCTGCTGTTTTACAGAACTAGTCTCTTTTCTGTCAGTTATACCCCTCTTGTTCCCCGTTTCCTTTTCCGCTTCCTCCTCATGTTTTTGGTTGCGTGGCCTTTGTCCATGTCCTTGATCCGAGGCTGGATAAGTTATCTCCCTGTGCTCATAGATGTGTTTTTTTAGGTCATTCCTATACACACAATGGTTATCGATGTTATCATCTTGAGTCTTATCAGTTCTTTGTTAGTGCCGATGTTACCTTTTCTGAGTCCACCTCATTTTTTTCCTCGTTTGGTCAACAATGATCGGATGATCTTATCTCTTGTCGTAAGGGGGAGTCATCTATTCCCACTCCTACTCTTCCAGTGCCATTTTTTTCCCTCATCCGCTTCCATCGGTTTAGATTCTTCTTCGGCATCTCCTCTAAACGGTCCTAAGCTCATCGTGTGGTTTCATATGGCCCCGCTGCTTCATCTTCTTTGTCAAAGGTTCTTGCCCCTCCTCTATCTGTGCCATTTACTGATGATTTACCTATTGTATTGCGCCAAGGTAAACGTACTTGTACTCAACATCCTATTTCTAATTTTGTTTCTTATGCTTGTCTTTCTCCTAGCTTTCACTCCTTTGCATGTAGCTTGTGTTGTCTTTCTATTCCCTCTTCTTATCAACATACTATGTCCATGTCGGGTTGGAAACATGCTATGGATGAGGAGATGAGTGCTCTTCATCAGAATCAGACTTGGTAACTTACACCTCTACCTTTTGGGAAACCTACAATTGGATATCATTGGATTTATACTGTCAAGTACCTTCCTGATGATACTGTTGAGCGGCTTAAAACCCTGTCTAGTGGCCAAAGATTATACTCAAGCCTATGGCATTGATTATCTGGAGACCTTCTCCCCTGTGGCTCGTCTTAATTCTATTCGAATTCTACTCTCTATTGCCGTCAATCAATCATAGCCTTTATATCAACTTGATATAAAAAATGCCTTTCTTCATAGTGATCTCACCGAGGACGTCTATACGGATCAACCCCCTGGCTATATTGTTCCTAGTAGTGAGCATCTAGTTTGTCGGTTACGAAAGGCTTTATATGGACTCAAGCAATCACTTCGTGCTTGGTTTGATTACTTTATTACCATTGTGCTTGCCTATGGGTTCCATCGTTCCACTTCTAATCACTTTGTTTTTGTTCGCAAATAATCTACTGGGGTTATTGTTCTCATTGTCTATGTGGACGACATCATCATCTCTAACAGTGACTCCATCGATATTGCTGATATGAAGCTTTATCTGGGTAAGCACTTTCACACTAAGGACTTGGGTAATTTGCAGTATTTTCTTGGAATTGAGATTGCTCACTCCTCTCAGGATTTAGTTCTTTCTCAACGCAAGTATGTTCTTGATCTTCTTTCTGAGATGATCTTCTTGGCACTCGTCCTAGTGATACTCCTATGGACTCCTCAATTAAACTTGATGGTGAGATTGGAGAGTTGTTTCCTGATATTGGCTGGATCGTTTGGGAAGTTGATTTATCTTATTGTCACTCGTCTGGATATTACTTATGTTGTGAGTGTTGTTAGCCAGTTTATACATGCTCCTCGTCAACACCATTTTGATGCTGTGTGCCAAATCTTACATTATTTCAAATGTGCTCCTGGTTGAGGTTTACTTTATCGTCCTTCTTCCCTGTCTGTCACTAGCTTTAGTGATGTTGATTGTGTAGGTAGTCGAAATGATGGTCGTCTTACATCCAGATATTGCACCTTTGTTGGGGATAATCTTGTTACTTGGCGTAGCAAGAAACAACCAGTTGTTGCTCATTCGAGTGCTAAGGTAGAGTATCGTGCCATGGTTCATACTACTTTTGAGATGTTATGGGTTTGTTCACTTCTACAGAATTTTGGTATTCATGTTGCTACTCCTATGAGCATGTACTGTGATAACCAAGCTGCTATTTTCATTGCTAATAACCCTGTGTTTCATGAGCGTACGAAGCATATTGAAGTTGATTGTCATTTTATTCGGGATTTGATATTGTGTAAACAACTTGTGACACCATATGTTCACTCAAATGATCAATTGGGTAATATACTCACCAAGCCCCTTGCTCTTTCTTCATTTCAGCGCCGTTCTACTAAGCTGGGTATGTTCGATCTCTATGCTCTAGCTTGAGGGAGAGTGTTAGAATGTCTATGTGTCTTTGTTATTATTTATGTTGAGTAAGGGTATTATTGTATTTCACATACATATTTTCTAATGGTTTTAGGTTGATTCAATAAGCCTAAAAACATACGTTCAATAAAATACTTCTCCTTGTTCTTCCCTCTCTCTCTAACCCTAATCTAAGTTTTCTGTACTTTTGCACTTCAACACTTTAAATAATCTTTGGTGAGTCAATTAAGTCCAAAGAAATGCCCAATTCATAGTCGAATACTTGGTGATAGCAAGCATGGAAGAAGAAAAATGGAAAATCTATAATTTCACATGAAGCACATTTCAAAACTTTTATGTTTAAAGTTAATTTGAGCCTTAAAATTTTATGTATTTTGTAGGTTAGAATGGTTTTGAACAAATTTTATAGCTTTTTATTAGGTTTCAGATGTTAAACTGTGCGAATTGCTAGACATGGGCTGTAGAAGTTGTTTCCTAAATTTGGAATTAGGAGAGCCAACATCTTCTAAATACATATTTTGAGAATTTTTTGTGACTGTTCGAAACCTCGTGCAATGCTTTATGCTACCTTATAGGGTAATCCCTAAGAAAATCTAATTGAGGATTAAACCACTCTTTTGATAGTCGAGGGTACCTATACAACTGTTCCCAATTATCCTTAATATTGAAATAACTCTCATTAATTTTGAAAAGGTATTGAATTATTCTTAAGTACTGTAGGTCACAGATGTGGCATTTCTGTGCAGCATTGGAGTATAATTAATAGGAATAGTACAACACTAGTTTCCAATACTTTAGCATACTGATTAGAGAAGAAGAATCAAGAAAACCGAGATCAAAGTGTGTAAAATTTGGTTCAAGTTTGTATGCACAAAATATAACCTAATTTTTTCATGAATATTTGGTAGATACATAATGACATGTTTTCACATATCTTATATAAAAAAATTACGTTTTAATTTATACATAGATATACATGTACATAAATAAATACATACATGGATATCTCTATTTGCATATCCTTAACATATCCAAGTCCTACTCTTTAAAAATTTATTTTATTAGTGTGTTCATATCATGTCATATATGTATCCCATGTCAGTATCAGTTCTTCATAATTGAGGATTCATTTTAGAACTTTAAAGATTCCATCCAGTAGTGTCCTGTGAATTCAATTTAGAAACATGATTAGCAGTTAGTAAAAGTTTTATTTCGAATAAGTTGAAAAATCATCCTAGGAAACTATAACAAATGATTTATCAAGTCAACTTTTGTAGACTGTTAAATAGATTATTTATAATCTAGACAACCAATAAAAGAATTGCAGGTGACCTGAACATGCTAGTTAATAGTGTTAAGGTATTAAATGATAGATAACAAGTAAATATGTTACTCCCAACTTACCAACCATCATCAAGATGGAATGCCAACTGATATGGGCAAGATGGATCAATATCAATTGAGTGTATTTCCTTTGACACAATATTGGATTGTGCCTGCAAAATGAGAACTTATGGTCAAGTTTCAACCACTAATATGCAGTATGGTGATCATTACGCTGAATGAGTTTGCTAGGTAAAGACTTAGCATCCCCTGAAAGTGATGCAGTTAAATCAATGTCAAAGCACATGGGATTTCTTCTACTCCAGTGAATGTGATAGTCATTTGAAAAACTGAAACATCTTTAAACCATAACAAAAGTAGAAACATACCCCTTTGCAGACCAACAATCAATACTGCATATGAGTTCCATTGCGGAATAACATATATGCAGCAAGGATTTCTTTTAAGTTAATGATGCACAAGTTGCTAACAAAATGATGTATCATAATCCAAAACACTTATCCGGTAATGCCGGATAACATTGCCAAGCCGATATATTATTTATCAAAGTATGATGAAGCAACAGCAGCATAATTCCATCTTTACAGTTTCTTCACTTGAATCATTTACCAGGTGACACTATGCTCATGTATGCATCACTGGTTAGGTAGAAAGCAAATGCAAAACTTTTCCACAAACTTTATTATTGGATAGCTTGATATACATTGTTGGGCCCATTTCCTAACAACCTAAAGTTTTTGGGAAAGTTGGTGTGATGCAGCACACGCAGGTTTGAAGCAAGTTTTAAGCTAACTTAGGGTTAGGTTTAGTGAAATAAAGCTAGGGGTGGTTAGGGTTTGGTTGTGAATGGTTTGGGCTGAAGGAAACAAGAATTTGTGACAGAAGAAAGACTGTTTATGGGCTGGAAATAGTAATCTGTGAATAGAGGCAATAGGAAAAGAGAAAAAGAAGAAGAAAACTAGGAATCACTCCTAAAATCCCTTAGGCATCACACCCAGAGTTTGATTGCATCACACAACCCATAAAGAAGCTTCCTATGATGCACGGACATGGACACGGGCACGGGACACGACACAAACACGTAAATACGCAAATTTTCAAAAAATTGGAGACACGTTTAATATATATAATTTTATTTATTTATTATTTATCTAAAATTTAAAAAAATATTAATTCTTATAAAATTACAATAATAATAAAATTAATAAATATTTTACCTCAATTTTTTTAATAAAAATTGATTTTTTTCAAATAAAAATAATTTATTTTATAAAATTGAATAAAAACATGGATAGAAATAATGAAACAAAAGAAAATTAAAAAAAAAAAAGAAAATAAAAAGAAAAGGGTGGAGTGGAGTGGAGAGAGAATAAATGAAATCAGATGAAGAGAAGAGAAGAAAGAGAAGAAGACGAAGACAGAAGAAGAGACGAAAGAAGATAGAAGACAGAAGACGAAGACAAAAGAAGACGAAGAGAAGATGAAGATGAAGACGAAGACAGAAGAACAGAGAAGCAGAAGAGAGAAGAAGAACAGGTTAGGGTTTGTTCTCTCTATCCTCGATCTGTCTCTCTCTTCCCTCGATCTGTCTCTGGCTCACTCTCTTTCTCCTCTCCAACACTTCTAGGGCTTCTTCGATCTACTTGCGTGTCTGAATCGTGTCCTCGCGTGTCCAACCTCGTGTCCGACTCTGAAAATTTCTAAAAAAAAGGGGACACGTAGGGGAGAGTGTCGGACACATGCTCGTGTCCGACACTCATACGCAAGCCTCAGGGACGTGCCCGTGCTTCATAGGAAGCTTCAAAGCTCTCAACTTTTTATAAAATATCAACTCCATTAAATTAGAGGCATTACATAGCTTTACATAGACTTTAGAGACTTCTTAAACCAACTAGAATAAAAAAAAAACTACTATAATATCTTAGACTTCCAAAATTAATTTAAGACTAAATAAGAAACATAAATAAAACTCAATTAAATAACTTGACCCATAAAATAACCAGTGGGTGACCCATATAACCCATGTCAGTAAATATAAAATTACCAAAATACCCATAATCTTAAAAATCCTAGAAAATATAAAAATAATAATAAAATAAGACTCCAATAATGTTAGAAACATAATTATAGAAGATTTCTATTAGGTTCTCTATAAAATCATGCCAATGTCCAAGTATCATCACTTCTCTGAACTTAGCCTTTTTTGAGCTTCTTATACTCTGCATCAATAGTGCAGTGCTGCAGCTTACTTTGTCCGATCTTTTAAGTTATAGACTTATAGGGCAAAAGATTATTTTGTTTAAAATTTAACCTTATTTATTGGATTGTGCAGCTACCCTCTTGCAATTAAATTCCAGGAGCAGGTAATTGATGCTTGGGAAGGCCATGGTCCGAGTGCACAGGACGAACTCAAAGAAGCTCGCCGACTTCTTGAAAAATTAAAGAAGGAAGCTCGAGGAGCATCATCAAATGAGCCTCCTGTAAGGGCCTTGCCCTTGCCCCATAATAGTCATGGCTCCACAAGAAGCTGTCAGCCTGGTGTTTCTATTAGTGAGAGGCAATCCAGCACAATTTAGTGTAGTATGAAAGGAAACTGATGCTGAATCAAGAACAATGCTGTATACCTCTCCTCTCATGAGCGTTTCTACTTGAAACAACGATGGTTATTGCTTCATCTTGATTTCTTGCTGATAAATACTAGTAGCAAGTCATATAAGTCCAACGAACAGATTTTTCATGCCATGTGCCGCCATTCTGTAAACCTTTTCTAGTTTTTGTGACTTGATGTTGGGCCGTGGATGTTGCTCATGGCTAAGCCTTCCGGACAATTAGTGTTACTAGAAAATGCTAATACCTTAGCAAATTAAGTTTTGGAACACATGTTCCAAAACATGGCATACTATTGTCCCCAAAATAGTAAATTTAGGGGTGGTTTGTGATGATCTAAATAATTGCACTTTTTGGTTTTTTACACCAAGGCTCCCCCGGAAGGGAGGACGGGGACACCGGAGAGGACAAGAAATAGGACTGAGACTCAAAAAAAGTGACATCCATGGACACAAACCACTTACGAGAAGAAGGGTGGTAACATTTATACCCCTTTTGAGTAGGAGAATAACCAAGGAAAACACACTTGATGGAGCGAGGGTCCAACTTACCACGAGAGGGAGAGTGATTATGGACAAAACAGACACAACCAAAGATTTTGGGAGGAATAGAAAACAAGGACTGAGTACCGAGGAGGACGTGAAGCGGAGCCTGTTTGTCCAAAACCTGAGCAGGGAGACGATTAATAAGATAGGCAGCGGTGAGAACGGCGTCGCCCCAATAGGGTCGAGGCACGTTCATAAAAAAACACATGCACCGAGCCATGTCAAGAAGATGCCGATTCTTGCGTTCGGCCACCCCATTTTGTTGAGGGGTATTGGTACAAGAGGTCTGATGGATAATGCCATGAGTAGAGAAATATTGTCCTAACCCAGAATCTATGTATTCCCCGCCATTATCAGAACGAAATATTTTGATAGTGGCCCCAAACTGAGTACAAATCATCTTATGAAAAGTGCGAAACACAGAGAAAACTTCACTCTTATCTTTCATGAGATACACCCAAGTAGCACGAGAAAAATCATCAATAAATGTAACAAACCAGCGATGACCTTTCACAGATAAAACACGAGAGGGACCCCAAACATCAGAGTGTATTAATGAAAAAGGAACTAAGCTTTTATTCAAACTGGGAACAAAAGAAGCTCTATGTTGTTTTCCAAGTTGACAAGACTCACAAAGAAAGTCAGACACATGATGATTTGCGAAACTAGAAGGAAATAAATGCTTAAGTAAATGAAAGGAGGGATGTCCAAGACGCCGATGCCACAGCCAGACATCAGCGGGTGTAGGAGAAGACGGGGTGGAAGAATAAGTAAGTTTGTCCGGTTGATCTAGGAAGTAGAGACCATTTTCTGCACTACCACTGCCAATCGTCCTCCCCGTGACAAGGTCCTGAAAAAGACAATGATCAGGAAAAAACGTCACACAACAATTCAAATCCTGGGTAAGACGACTTAAGGATAACAGATTAACAGAAAACTTGGGAACATGGAGAACAGAAGATAAAGGTATGGTAGAAGTGACTTGGACTAAACCTTTCCCAGAAATGGAAGAAACAGTACCATCGGCAACCCTAACTTTGTCCTGACCTGAAGAAGGCTTATAGGCAGAGAAAAGATCAGAGGAGCCAGACATATGATCTGAGGCAACAGAAACAATAATCCAGTGCAAAGACTTATGAGAAAGGAAAATGCGAGGAAAAGAAGTTAGGTTACCTTAAGCGGGCAAACAACGAGGAAGATGTACTGAGAGCAGTAGAAGACCGGCGATCCAACAATTGGCGCAAAGCATCCTCCAGCTCAGTAGCAGAAGCTTGGGTAACAGAAGTAGAATTAGAATCAAGGGTATCAACGGCACTAGACTGATGAGCCCGGGAATAGGAACCACGTCCTCTAGATTGGCCTGACCGACCTCCTCGAGAACCAGACCGATCACCTCGACCCCCAGATGGAGTCCCATGAAGCTTCCAACACGTCCTTTACCGACTTTTGTGGGTGTTCGACCCCCAGATGGAGTCCCATGAAGCTTCCAACATGTCTCACGAGTATGCCGCGGCTTTTTGCAATAATCACAGAATACAGACTCCTTCGCAGCAGACGGAGGAGGCAGGCTGAGGCTATCTCGAGGAGTAGACAGTAATGCGGAACGGTCAGTAGAGAAAGGGGACATCATAGCAGACCGACGACTCTCCTCATTTTGGACATAGGCAAATGCCTCTTGCAGTGAAGGAAGAGTGTCCATACTCAGAACTCGACCCCTAACTGGATCATACTCCATATTTAGGCCAGCCAAAAATTTAAAGACCCGTTCCCGTGCGATGAACTTCTTGTACCCGATAGAATCAGTAGGGCAAACGGGCTTATAGTCTTCCAGGTGGTCAAGGCGTTTCCAGCCGTTGGTGAGGAAAGTGAAGTACTGAAGAACAGTCTGCTCCCCCTGAAGTGTGCTCTCAATAGAGCGACGCAACTCAAATGCCTGTGAAAAATTTCCTTTGTGGGAATAGGTAACAGCCACAGCCTCCCAAATGTCCTAGGCAGTCTCCATAGACAAGTAGCCCTCACCAAGTTCTGGAACCATCGAATGGATAAGCCAATTCATAATCAAAGAGTTGTTAATCTCCCATTGGTCAAAACCTGAGTCAGTGGTACTAGGTGCCTGTATCCTGCCATCAACATACCCCATCTTCCCTCTGCTCTTTAAAAACAAAGTCAAACTTTGAGACCATGCTAGGTAGTTCTGACCATTAAATAGAGAGCTAGATCAGAGGACGACGAGGACGAGGGCTGAGACGAGCGACGAACTGCGGGAGAAGATCGACGAGCGACGAACTGCGATGAAGATCGACGAACTGCGATTGATGAAGACGAGCGACGAACTGCGGGATGAACTGCGATTGATGAAGACGAGTGACGAACTGCGGGATGATGATGATGGCAGAGACGAAGACGAAGCGGAATGATGATGATGGCAGAAGATCGATTCAGCAGATGATCCAACTAGGTATGCTTTGAACCCTAGCCCTGGAGGTGATGCTCTGATACCATGAAGCTTGGGTAACCAGCTTAGGGTATGATGAGATATCACCCCTTATTTATAAATGAAGATTTAGGGTTTACAAAAAAGACAATTACAAGATGATCCCTGAGTGCGTAAAAATGATTACAGATCTTAGAGACTTTCGGCTAATATAATATGCTAAGTGCCTTTCGGTGATTATAATATGTCAACATATTGTTCCTAGTAGTGAGCATCTAGTTTGTCGGTTACGAAAGGCTTTATATGGACTCAAGCAATCACTTCGTGCTTGGTTTGATTACTTTATTACCATTGTGCTTGCCTATGGGTTCCATCGTTCCACTTCTAATCACTTTGTTTTTGTTCGCAAATAATCTACTGGGGTTATTGTTCTCATTGTCTATGTGGACGACATCATCATCTCTAACAGTGACTCCATCGATATTGCTGATATGAAGCTTTATCTGGGTAAGCACTTTCACACTAAGGACTTGGGTAATTTGCAGTATTTTCTTGGAATTGAGATTGCTCACTCCTCTCAGGATTTAGTTCTTTCTCAACGCAAGTATGTTCTTGATCTTCTTTCTGAGATGATCTTCTTGGCACTCGTCCTAGTGATACTCCTATGGACTCCTCAATTAAACTTGATGGTGAGATTGGAGAGTTGTTTCCTGATATTGGCTGGATTGTTTGGGAAGTTGATTTATCTTATTGTCACTCGTCTGGATATTACTTATGTTGTGAGTGTTGTTAGCCAGTTTATACATGCTCCTCGTCAACACCATTTTGATGCTGTGTGCCAAATCTTACATTATTTCAAATGTGCTCCTGGTTGAGGTTTACTTTATCGTCCTTCTTCCCTGTCTGTCACTAGCTTTAGTGATGTTGATTGTGTAGGTAGTCGAAATGATGGTCGTCTTACATCCAGATATTGCACCTTTGTTGGGGATAATCTTGTTACTTGGCGTAGCAAGAAACAACCAGTTGTTGCTCATTCGAGTGCTAAGGTAGAGTATCGTGCCATGGTTCATACTACTTTTGAGATGTTATGGGTTTGTTCACTTCTACAGAATTTTGGTATTCATGTTGCTACTCCTATGAGCATGTACTGTGATAACCAAGCTGCTATTTTCATTGCTAACAACCCTGTGTTTCATGAGCGTACGAAGCATATTGAAGTTGATTGTCATTTTATTCGGGATTTGATATTGTGTAAACAACTTGTGACACCATATGTTCACTCAAATGATCAATTGGGTAATATACTCACCAAGCCCCTTGCTCTTTCTTCATTTCAGCGCCGTTCTACTAAGCTGGGTATGTTCGATCTCTATGCTCTAGCTTGAGGGAGAGTGTTAGAATGTCTATGTGTCTTTGTTATTATTTATGTTGAGTAAGGGTATTATTGTATTTCACATACATATTTTCTAATGGTTTTAGGTTGATTCAATAAGCCTAAAAACATACGTTCAATAAAATACTTCTCCTTGTTCTTCCCTCTCTCTCTAACCCTAATCTAAGTTTTCTGTACTTTTGCACTTCAACCCTTTAAATAATCTTTGGTGAGTCAATTAAGTCCAAAGAAATGCCCAATTCCTAGTCGAATACTTGGTGATAGCAAGCATGGAAAGAAGAAAAATGGAAAATCTATAATTTCACATGAAGCACATTTCAAAACTTTTATGTTTAAAGTTAATTTGAGCCTTAAAATTTTATGTATTTTGTAGGTTAGAATGGTTTTGAACAAATTTTATAGCTTTTTATTAGGTTTCAGATGTTAAACTGTGCGAATTGCTAGACATGGGCTGTAGAAGTTGTTTCCTAAATTTGGAATTAGGAGAGCCAACATCTTCTAAATACATATTTTGAGAATTTTTTGTGACTGTTCGAAACCTTGTGCAATGCTTTATGCTACCTTATAGGGTAATCCCTAAGAAAATCTAATTGAGGATTAAACCACTCTTTTGATAGTCGAGGGTACCTATACAACTGTTCCCAATTATCCTTAATATTGAAATAACTCTCATTAATTTTGAAAAGGTATTGAATTATTCTTAAGTACTGTAGGTCACAGATGTGGCATTTCTGTGCAGCATTGGAGTATAATTAATAGGAATAGTACAACACTAGTTTCCAATACTTTAGCATACTGATTAGAGAAGAAGAATCAAGAAAACCGAGATCAAAGTGTGTAAAATTTGGTTCAAGTTTGTATGCACAAAATATAACCTAATTTTTTCATGAATATTTGGTAGATACATAATGACATGTTTTCACATATCTTATATAAAAAAATTACGTTTTAATTTATACATAGATATACATGTACATAAATAAATACATACATGGATATCTCTATTTGCATATCCTTAACATATCCAAGTCCTACTCTTTAAAAATTTATTTTATTAGTGTGTTCATATCATGTCATATATGTATCCCATGTCAGTATCAGTTCTTCATAATTGAGGATTCATTTTAGAACTTTAAAGATTCCATCCAGTAGTGTCCTGTGAATTCAATTTAGAAACATGATTAGCAGTTAGTAAAAGTTTTATTTCGAATAAGTTGAAAAATCATCCTAGGAAACTATAACAAATGATTTATCAAGTCAACTTTTGTAGACTGTTAAATAGATTATTTATAATCTAGACAACCAATAAAAGAATTGCAGGTGACCTGAACATGCTAGTTAATAGTGTTAAGGTATTAAATGATAGATAACAAGTAAATATGTTACTCCCAACTTACCAACCATCATCAAGATGGAATGCCAACTGATATGGGCAAGATGGATCAATATCAATTGAGTGTATTTCCTTTGACACAATATTGGATTGTGCCTGCAAAATGAGAACTTATGGTCAAGTTTCAACCACTAATATGCAGTATGGTGATCTTTACGCTGAATGAGTTTGCTAGGTAAAGACTTAGCATCCCCTGAAAGTGATACAGTTAAATCAATGTCAAAGCACATGGGATTTCTTCTACTCCAGTGAATGTGATAGTCATTTGAAAAACTGAAACATCTTTAAACCATAACAAAAGTAGAAATATACCCCTTTGCAGACCAACAATCAATACTGCATATGAGTTCCATTGCGGAATAACATATATGCAGCAAGGATTTCTTTTAAGTTGATGATGCACAAGTTGCTAACAAAATGATGTATCATAATCCAAAACACATATCCGGTAATACAGGATAACATTGCCAAGTCGATATATTATTTATCAAAGTATGATGAAGCAACAGCAGCATAATTCCATCTTTACAGTTTCTTCACTTGAATCATTTACCAGGTGACACTATGCTCATGTATGCATCACTGGTTAGGTAGAAAGCAAATGCAAAACTTTTCCACAAACTTTATTATTGGATAGCTTGATATACATTGTTGGGCCCATTTCCTAACAACCTAAAGTTTTTGGGAAAGTTGGTGTGATGCAGCACACGCAGGTTTGAAGCAAGTTTTAAGCTAACTTAGGGTTAGGTTTAGTGAAATAAAGCTAGGGGTGGTTAGGGTTTGGTTGTGAATGGTTTGGGCTGAAGGAAACAAGAATTTGTGACAGAAAGAAAGACTGTTTATGGGCTGGAAATAATAATCTGTGAATAGAGGCAATAGGAAAAGAGAAAAAGATGAAGAAAACTAGGAATCGCTCCTAAAATCCCTTAGGCATCACAGCCAGGGTTTGATTGCATCACACAACCCATAAAGAAGCTTCCTATGATGCACGGACACGGACACGGACACGGGACACGATACAGACATGTAAATACGCAAATTTTCAAAAAATTGGGGACACGTTTAATATATATAATTTTATTTTTTTATTATATATCTAAAATTTAAAAAAAATATTAATTCTTATAAAATTACAATAATAATAAAATTAATAAATATATTACCTCAATTTTTTTAATAAAAATTGATTTTTTTCAAATAAAAATAATTTATTTTATAAAATTGAATAAAAACATGGTTAGAAATAATGAAACAAAAGAAAATTAAAAAAAGAAAGAAAATAAAAAGAAAAGGGTGGAGCGGAGAGAGAATAAATGAAATCAGATGAAGAGAAGAGAAGAAAGAGAAGAAGACGAAGACAGAAGAAGAGACGAAAGAAGATAGAAGACAGAAGACGAATACAGAAGAAGACGAAGACGAAGACAGAAGAACAGAGAAGCAGAAGAGAGAAGAAGAACAGGTTAGGGTTTGTTCTATCTATCCTCGATCTGTCTCTCTCTTCCCTCGATCCGTCTTTGGCTCACTCTCTTTCTCCTCTCCAGCACTTCTAGGACTTCTTCGATCTACCTGCGTGTCTGAATCATGTCCTCGCGTGTCCAACCTCGTGTCTGACTCTAAAAATTTCTAAAAAAAAAGGGACAAGTAGGGGAGAGTGTCGGACACATGCCTGTGTCCGACATGTGTCCGACACTCATATGCAAGCCTCAGGGACGTGTCCGTGCTTCATAGGAAGCTTCAAAGCTCTCAACTTTTTATAAAATATCAACTCCATTAAATTAGAGGCATTACATGGCTTTATATAGACTTTAGAGACTTCTTAAACCAACTAGAATAAAAAAAAAACTACTATAATATCTTAGACTTCCAAAATTAATTTAAGACTAAATAAGAAACATAAATAAAACTCAATAAAATAACTTGAGCCACAAGACGACCCATGGGCGACCCATATAACCCATGTTAGTAAATATAAAATTACCAAAATATCCCCCTAACCTTAAAAATCCTAGAAAACATAAAAGTAATAATAAAATAAGACTAACAATACTAAAATCATAATTGTGGAAGATTTCTATCAGTTTCTCTATGAAATCATGCCAATGTCCAAGTATCATCACTTCTCTGAATTTAGCCTTCTTCGAACTTCTTATACTCTGCATCATGGTGACTTAACATGGTATCAAAGCTCAGGTTATGAGAGGTCTCGGATTCAAGTCCCTCAGTTGGCATTTTGTATCTAGTCCCCATTTAGTTTCTTCTTTTGTGTTTGGTTGTCTTCTTCTCTTTCTATTTGTATCTCCACGTGCAAGACGGAGTTGCACGCAAGAGAGGTTAATGGATAGCTTGAGATACATTGCCGGGGCCCATTTTCTAACAGCTTAAGCCTTTGGAAAAGTTGGCGAGTTAACATTTATCAACATCCATGACAGCTAAGTTTTCAAGAATTTCACAAAGGAAGATATAAGTTCCACTCTCTTCATACTCAAGCCATTTATAAAATACTTGTCAAATTTTCAGAGAAAAGATGAACTTCCTTATTGGACATGAAACATTAGATTACTTTTAAAGGCCATATTTTGCAAGAATACGGATTAAGATTTCATACTTCAAAACACCTGATTGTATCTCAAAGCCCCTTCCGAAAATGAAAAAGGGTGAAAGCTACCCCATGTACATTGAAAAGTACAGCAACTTGTGGGTGGTGTGGGCAGTTGACTTTGTTAAACATAAAGCAAAAGCAACTAGAAGATGGTGAACATTACAGTAAATGAAATAAAATGACATCATAAAAAACTTACCTTCAAAGACTCAACTTTCTGCAGCACCGATGCTAACTTCACCGACGCCAGAGGAGAATAATGTGGCTGAATGAGATACAAAAAGAAAAAAAATTAAAAAAAATGCAATGCGCACACACATATTTCAGAGGTTGGTTTTTATCTTCTCACTAATCACTAGCAAAATTAATTTATTTTTACATTTAGGATGAAAGTTGGGTCTTAGTTTCTGGATAGGCTTATGGAATGGGATGGCTTATTTTATTTGGTGGACTGAAGTGATTCTACTGTGTTTGGCCTGATGTCATGTTGACTGGCGAGCCATGCTGGACCGGGCTTAAGGCCTCATTTGGCATGCAACTGGTTTAGCCTAAAAATCAAAAATCCTATAATCTATACCGAAAAGTCAAAGATTTCCTTTTCTCCCCATTTTTTGCACATCTTTTCGTAAAAAACCAAAAAGTCATTCCAAACATACTAGTTTTTTTACCTCATATTTTAGCCAAAAAGTTACAAAAAAAGCCTGTTCCCAAACGAGGCCTAAGTGAGGTGGATTGTGCCTAAAATGGTTGGGTTGAGAATAATGGATCTCGGTTTGGATTAAAAAGCCTGGGTCTGGTCCAGGCTTATATAACCCTTTCTTTGCATATATGTTGTATGCAACGTCTTCCTTATGCAAATGAGGGCAACCTGCAACTCCACATTGGCTTGACCGACGGAATTTGGTAAAAACGTTCCTACAAAACAAAAAAGTGATGCTGAGCAATAATAGCAATCTGTGATTTCTGTTTGCGAATTTGGGAATTGAATCTGGCAATGGCTGAGATGGTGGGATGGGATGCAATCCGCAATCTGCGAGTTATGGTTGTGGCAAGGTCACTTGTGGCGTGTGTAAGGCTTTACGAAGATGACATAGCAAAACTTTGGCACCAAATTTGATGTAGAATGGAGAGGAAAAACACGAAGGCCACAACCTTATCAACTTAAATCTATTAATCAACTCCGGATAACACAATGCAAAAACTTGATATTTATAAACCACCAACTCTAATTAAAATAGGAAACTAGACCCTAATAAAATAGGAATCAAACATTAATAAAACTCCTTCCAAAATTGGTGTGTGCACGTTCTGCATCAGGTGACTGTTAATGACATGCTAATTCAACTTTCCTCATTCGAAGAACAACTCAGCTGAGTCACTGGATGTGGAAAGAAATACGTGGGTCCATGTATATCACCTCTCTATGGCTTTGAAAACCAGTAGATGATCTTCCTCCACGAAGATCCCACATATATATAATCCCATTCTTGCAAGCCCCAAAAATAATCTGAAAAATAAGTAAACAAATACAAACATGAAGTCAAGCACATAAGAGGAAAATACGGTTGAACAAATTACAATGAACAGCATATGATTTCTGCTAATCATATAAAAATAAATAAAAATAATGAGAAAATTACTGCAGGATATGCATATAAATAAACTTGTACATTGCAATGACAGAAGGTTCATGTCAACTAGTAACCTGACTCTCTTCAATTAATCGGATACTATTGAGGGTGCTGTTTGAATTAGTTGTGAGCTCAATACATGGGAGATCACTCATTCTTCTATCCCATACATTTATTACGCCATATGTATCCGAAGCAAGTACCCTATCGAAGCACATGACAAAATCAAAGTTATCAAATTAGCAAAAACCAGCTAATTCACAGAAGTTTCCATGAAAGAAGAAACCAACAAGTCCTTAACATTGACATAAGAATAATTTACAATCAGAAAGAAGAAAATGAAATAAAGCGTCCAATACCCCCAATGAAATCTGCCATGGGAATCCCACATTCATTGACAGCTGAAGTCCAAGATACTAAACTAGAGAAATGAATTTTATGCTTGTGAATGTCCACGACAACTTCATTTGGATGAAATTTCTAACATTTTGCTTGTACACAAGATTGGTATGGGGGGAGAAGAGCACGGAAAGTCTTCAAGAATACGAAAGTCTTCCTAGGTAATATCTTTAAAGAAAAGGTAACTGATAACATTTTTAGGCACTGTTTTCAAGTGTACCAAGAGTTTAAATACCAAACCAAACTAAGCCTTGTGTCCCATTCAAGTGGGATTGGCTACATATATCATCATTTTGTCAGGTCATGGGTTATATGCTCGATTTAATTAAATAAACTTTGTTACTACCGTATGCTATGTTCGTTTAAGTGTTCCCCTCTCCCTAGCATTTGCATTTATGGCGATCATATCACTCTTCTTTATTGTTGCATTCATAGTTCTAAGTTTTTTGAGTACACAAAAACATCATTAATATAAGTCGAAAGTACTATCTTGAGGTGACTAGAGTTAGATTGCATTGAATAAGCAAAAGATAGGTGTATTACAAAAAATTCACCAAATAGTAAATAAAGACGGATTAATTACAAAATTTATCTTGAATATGTCACAAGATAGATATCTAAGAAATTTGTATCAAATAGTGATAAACCATTCACTTCCAAAAAAAAAAAAAATGCTTACTCAACCTAACTTAGCAAGGCATTACGCCCAACTATCTGGGTCAGATATATTTAATCCTTGTTTCACCATTCCACTCTACCAACCTCTATAACTTCAGACCGGTTAAACCATTTGCTGCCGTCTCTATGACCTTAACTCATGTTGATCTTGGACTTTCTTCTCCCCTTAGCACTAACCTCATTAAAGATACAAACCACATATTCAAATATTGCCCTTTGGTGTATATCCCTCTTTTAACATCATCTATTGCTCAGCAGTTGTAGGTATTTTTGTAATCATTATATTTAGATATCAAAAACTAGTTCTTGCATTCATAGAATTTACCGTTCCAGGTTACTGGTACCCAAAATCACATCTCACATATTACCGTATTGAGATGGAGTTATTATGCACCTTTTTCTATGTAGCTTTCTGGAGTTCTCTATAGTTGTCCCAAGAATCATAATGAATTAATCAAATCTGGCCCCAAATGCCAGCCTTGTTCGTCGAACTTTTTAGGGGTTTCATTAGGATTCCTCTATATGTAGGACAAGATGTCACAACAACTAAAGTAGCATTAAACTTAACAAACATCAATAGAAGTGAAGCATATAATTATGAGGACTCTAACAAAAGAAACTGGAATCTGAACATGTATTTCTACTTTTCTATGAATTTGAACATGTATTGAGATGGGGTTATTATGCACCTTTTTCTATGTATCTTGCTGGAGTTCTCTATAGTTGTCCCAAGAATCAATGAATTAATCAAATCTGGATGCAAATGCCGGCCTTGTTTAACTTTTTAGGGGTTTCATTAGGATTCCGCTATATGTAGGACAAAATGTCACAACAACTAGGAGATACATGCATAATATATAGTTACATATTTATTAGTAGGGTTAATTACATTTTACCCCTTTGTGTTTTAGCCGAAAACACATAACCCCCTTCAAGTCTAAAAATCTACACATAAGTTCCTTGTGGTTTGGACTAATATGTAAATTTCAACTATGTTAACAGTTTTTGCAAAGAGTGCTGCTATTAGCACCTACCAAAATTCTTTGGACCCCCCATTTCTTTGAACCCCAACCCTAAACCCTAAATTTTAATAATATTTTTTTGGACACCCCACTTATTACCAAATCTACCCATATTCATAATATTTGCACAATGAAATGCACACCCACCTAATTTTTCATCCCTCTCCTTCCCTGACTCACTCAATCTTCAGAGTTTGGAGCTTTGGTCCAGTACAGTTCCTCCGACCTCCCCATTGCGTAAGGATGGTAATTCACTCTCATACCCTTCTCCACTACTGTCCCATCTGGCAACACGTCGTTCTTTAAAGCTTGCTTTCCGTCCATGAGGATGGGTGGGTAGAGTCTCATGGTCTCGCTCAGCGACGCGTGTGTGTAAACCATGTCTTTCACTTCTTCGTAGATCGGAGCTTCGGATTTCTCATTGATTTCTTTGAGAATCTCAGTTTCTACATCTGGGTTTTTGGAGACAAGCCAGAAGAACCAGATTAAAGCTTTCATCTAAATACCCTGAATTCAAGAATCTCGATAGGAGATCAGCAGATTCGAGTGATGATTTTGAATTTGTTCACCACTGTATAGCCGAAAAAATGTATTTTGTTCAGAACTGTTTTGTCGAACAATAATGATCCTGTCAGCACTGTATGTCCGAACAAAATTTGTTCATCACTGTGTAACTTGAATCCATTCCAATTCACAACTTAAAATAACATGAATTAAATCCATTCAAAATACATAACTTAAATCCATTCCAATTCACTCTTTTCCATTCTAAGTTAGTTTAACAAAGAAAATTACATAACTAACTATCTGCATTCATGTTCGGAACCTATGTATTGAACGAAAGGATTATGTTCAGTACTGTATTACCGAACATAATTCTAATAGTCAGCAAACCAGTACCGAACAGCTCGAATGAAACAAGAACGACCGAAAACGATCGAGAATGTTAATACAAGACAGATAAACTTATTAATGGAACGCCGGTCTCACTAGAATTGTTGTCCTCGTCCTCCATTGCTCTACACAGTAAAATAAGTGATGAAGTATACGTTATACTTGAAGCAAAACTTTCAAGTTCAATAGCGTTGATGATGGTGATGAAGATGACACATTCAGGATTTAAGATGATTATGAAAAATAATAGATTTAGGGTTTATATTAGTTGGTTATGAAAAGTAATAGGTTTAGAGTTTACAAACGTTGAATACGTATAGTTGGAGTTGGAGGTGGGGGTGGGGGTGGGTATCCAATATTATAGAATATTAGTTCTTATTGATAGGTGGGTGTTCCATTTAATAATGTTTTTTAATGTAATTTTACTTTAGGGTATAATTGTAATAAAAAAAAATTATAAAATGGGAGGTCCAAAGAATTTTGACAGGTGCTAATAGCAACACTCTTTTGCAAAAAGCCAATATTGCCTTTATTTTTTCTTTTTCTGCAATTTTCATCTATAAGCCACCACCATTAGAGCCTCTAGTTTTTTTACTCTCATTTTTTTATTTGCCTTTTCTTTTCCCTTGTTTTCTTTTTGGGTTAATTACATTTTTGGTCCCTAAAGTCTGAGATTTGTATCATTTTGATCCCTATATTTAAATTGTGTAAATTTGGTACCCAATGTAAAAGAAGTGTTTTAATTTGGTCCCCCAACCAAATTTCATTAATAGACGCCATTAAAGGCGGGAGTAAATATGTAATTTGGAAGATCAAAATAACACACATCACATGTTTTGGAGACTAAAAGTGTAACTTTTTAAGTGAGTTTCCACATTAATGACACATTACATATTTTTGGGACTAGAAGTGTCATTTTGTAAGTGAGTTTCCATATTTATCCTTGACTTGAACAGCATCCATTGATGGAATTTGGTTGGGGGACCAAATTAAAATACTTTTTATACATAAGGGACTAAATTGACACAATTTAAACATTGGGGACCAAAATGACACAAAGTGCATATTTTGGAGACCAAAAATGTAATTAACCCCTTTTTTTTTCTTCTCCCCCCCCCCCTTCCTCCCCCCCTCTTGTTCTTCTTCTTCCCCTGCCTCCTGCACACTCACGTTACAATAGCAGCTACCTATGAAGCATGGACACTCCAAAATCAGTGCTGTGGCGGTGTCCGACACACAAACATGCCAGGGACACGAGGACACGTCGAGGACACGTAAGGGACACGCCAGATGGCGTGTCCTTTTAATTTAATGATTTTTTTTAGGGGACACGGCGTGGACACACGTGTCCATATTAGGACATGCCATGGAACACAGCGGGGCTCATTTTTAATTTTGTTATATTTATTTGGGGTCAAAGTGTAATATTTAAAAAAATAAAAAATAAAATAAAATAAAAGAAGCAACGATGTATAAGAAAGAATCCCATCTAGTCGTCTATTAGTCGATCCAGTCGGCAGTGAACATCTCTGATCCAGTTGATCCAGTCAATTGAAGACCACCATCCATTGAACCAGTTGTCTATCGCCAACTTGAACATCGTTGATCTACCTCCATCCAATTGATTGAATACTTCGAAGGTAAGCCCCCCCCCTCTCTCTCTCTCTCTCTCGGGAAATTATTCAATGCTCCTCGAGCACCACGTGTCCATACTCCAAACCAATCACCAATTAGTTAGCCCCATGTTGTTCCCCCATTCTCAACATAAATCGTGGGCCCTTGTGTCTCTCTACCAATCAAAACTTTATGGAGCACCACGTGACCATACTCTAAGAGTACTGAATAATCACCCCTCTTTGTTATTTAACTTCTATTTTTTTATCTTATCTTTCATAAAAAATTATTAATTGATCCTGACACACCTTGAAATACCACATAATTATATCTCTTATTAGCATATTACCCGTGCTATATACAGATAGTGTTTTGTCACTTTATCTTCTTTTTTTTTTTAAATATTTTTTTATATATTATATTAAAGTTTAATAAATTATTATTTCTTAACTTTTTAACATATAATAAATAAAATAAATCATCCAATTATTTAAAAGAAATCTAATTAATTCATATATAATAAAAAAAATTATAAAATAAAATATCTAATTTTTCTTTTTATTTATTTTAACATATTTTATTATTCCTTATTTGTTATATTTTTTATTTATAATATATATCAATTAAAAATAAAAAAATAAATTAACAATAACACATTATTTAAAATATATAATAAATAAATAAAATAATTAATGTGTATTAAAATAAAAATATTTATAAAAAAATTAAAAAATTTGCCGTGTCTCCTGCCGTGTCCGTATTCCCATTTTTTAGAAATTGTCGTGTCCCGTGTGCGTGTTCGTGTCTGTATGCGTGTCTATGTCTGTGTCCGTGCTTCATAGGCAACTGCTCTCTCTCTCTCTTATTTCTCTTTTTTCTTTCTTCTCTTCTTCCTCTTAAAAACAGAATATCCCTTTGCCTCCTCTCATCCAACACATGCACAAACAAATACATCCAAGCTAGAACAACCCCCATGTCAAACCCAGCCTCCACCGCCATTGAGATATTTTCCTCCACAGAACAACCACTAACACCACGTCACGTTTGCCACGCCACCTTCACCTTTCTCCACCCTTAGCTCCTCTCTCACAACACCCACAGAAGAACACACATTGCTGACTACCAGTTATCTTATAGTTGTCAAATAGTGAATTGAATAATGAATCGAAATGGCCTTGTACCGAATTGCAAATCGAATCGTGAATGGTAAATCATAAAGACTCAGTCATTTTTTCTAAATTATTTAGAAAAATATATTTATACACTTTAATGTTACATATATTTTATAAGTACAAAATATTTAGATTTAAATCAATAAAAATGTAGTTTTGAATGATGATCACGTGTCTAACAGGTAAAAAGTTAACACAGGTTCCCATGTAAATCGTACCTCTCCCTTTTTTAAAATATTGCTAATCAACCATTCTTAATAAAGAAAGTAATAAAGACAAACTTTCAATTTCTAAGTAACAATAACTTAACAACGATATAGATATTTCATATGCATACATATCTTTACAAGTAACAATGACCCAATAATAAGAAACATTTGATTGGAATCTTTTATTTTAAAACCTAAAGCATTTTAAAAGGAATATATGCTTATTGTTAAATTTTATTTTATTTTTATTTTTATTTTAAGAAAAGAACTTGTGCAACCATTTGGTTTAACTAACTTCACCCATGTAATATTGAAGTATATTTATTTCAATAAAATATTAATAGATAATCATATTGCAAGTTACTTTAACCTTAAACATCTTTAGAAGATACATTATGATTTTTTTTTTTTTTTTAAAAAAAAGAAGATCAAAAACATGTTAGGTTTGACTAAATCTAATTGAATCCTATTAAAAACTATCCGATCTCCAAAATAACAACAAACTATGTATATATATATATATATTAGTTATTTTCGTACTAAACACTATTAGAAGTCGTATTATGTCATTTTAACTTTAAAAAATAGATTAAAAAATAATCAAAATATGTCGGACATAATAGTTTCAAGAATTGCATGAATTGTAAAAAGTGAATTGAATAGTGAATTGAATCTTGAATTGATTGTGAACCGTGCAATTCACTTGAGATTCACTTCCAAAATAGATTCACTCATAGATTCGTATCAATTTTACAAAAATTCCAAATCGAATCGTAAATTGAATCGCGAATCGTAAGATTCTGATAATAGATTAGGTGATATTGAGGCACATCCCTTTAAACAATCACAATAGGATTAATTAATTAGAATTTAATTAGAATAGAGCTCGATGCAATGACTAAGAGATGATTGTTATTGAAGATTTCAGGAATAGAGAAGTGAGATTTTTTGGATCTTCATAAATTAAATGCAATGCTATTAGCAGTAAAAAGCAATTGTGTTATAGTGGATATTGTAGTGATAAATTTCTTTGTTCATCAACTGCACAAGTCCATTTTTTCCATTCAATGATACAAGCCATTTTTCCAAAAACCAGAGTGCATCATCTTTCTTTAGCATGTCAACTCATCTCCTTGCCTGTTTGATGTACCGATAAAAAGTAGAGTGAGGGAGTCAATGGCTACGGAGATAGGGGATGAGGGAGGGTGTGGGCAGTTGGGGAGGTGGGGAATAAGGAAGGTGGTGATGGGAGAGCTGGGGGATCAAGTAGCTTTTGGGACATTGGTGATCTAAAGTGGTATCAAAATACTGGATCCAAGAAGACCTAGGTTCAAGTCTCTCATCGTCCGTGTTTGTTCCTTGTTATGTTTGTTATTGGGTACTTTATTGTGTATTGCTGCACATTTGTTCAGTTTAGTTTGTGCTCATTTGTTTGCCTTCCCTCTTGAAGGGGCGGATCATATGCAAAGGGAAACGTTTGATAGCTTGATTGCATTGTTAGACCTATTTCACTGTTTCAACTTCTAAGACAATGGGTTATCTATCTGAAAACAAGTTATATTTTCCTACCAGAAGTAGTTTGTTTTACCAACCTTGAATCATTATTTGAAGAAAAAGCAATATCAGAAAAACCTCTTTGAACATCAAACCCATGAATGGTAACTGTAGGCCTCTTCCTTAGTACCTGCATGATGAGGAACACAAAATGATCATCACAAACATCTAGTTCACCCGATTTTTTTCCCATTATGTGGCGCAAAGATTAGCAGCAAATTTAAAGAGAAGTGTTATAAGCTTTAAAGGAAATGTTGTAATATCAAGGCCGTAATTATACATTAACAGATGAATGCACCCTTTGGCTTATTTTTACTGTTAGGATATGTTAGAATAGGAAATTACATTCACATACTTTGTTCTGATTTGATGTAATGGGCTATAATGAACTGGCCCATAATTCATGCCTTATGGCACTCCTGTAATTATGTTTTATTCTTAATATAAAAGAGAATGAGGTTTTTACTCATTCCCTAACTCTTTCTCTTCTATAAACCTATATAGTATCAGAGCCTCAATAGGAGTACCCTAAAGCAACACTTTGCTTCCACCGAAGGACTGCCCAGGCCACCCACACCCGCGTATGGGACAGTCAACCCCTACCCAGGCTACCCGAAGGCAGCCCTTGGCCATTTGGCCTTTACCCAGATAAGCCGAAGGACAGTCAGTTCTCTCCCAGGGCAGTCGAAGCCTTCTCTACCCTCCTCTTGGCCTGTCGGCAGCCCTAGCCCATCCATATAGGTCTGTCGGTGCTCCTAGAGGCTTTGTAATCCTTCTCTGTCCTCCTTTAGGCCTGTCGTCGACACTCCTGGAGGCTTTGTAGACCTCGTCTAGTCAACCCCTGCTTCAGTTGCCTTCCTCCTTAGTCTCCTTGGTCTCCTTGGTCTACTGGTTTGTCGACTAGGGTGTACCCATGGCATGAGCTCTGGCTTTGATATACCCACAAACCTTCTTCTCTATTTATTTCTTAAAAAAAGAAAAAAAAAAAGATAGCCCGACCCTCGTACATGACCCTGGGTATCTTTTCAGCCCTCTATTCTATGTTTTTGAATGCATATTATGAAATTCTATGTGAAAGTACATTGAATTACATGAAACTTAGCCATATGGATTCCTATCTGTTGAATAAGGAAATTATCTGTCACTATAGACTATTTGAATCTGAAATTGGGCGCCTTAGAGGCTTAATTTTCTGAAATTGATTTGATATTTGGAATCTGCATAATTTTTAAACTCTAATGGGATTTTCTGTGAAATTTCAATTTAGGATGCTTAAACGATTAAATTTTGTCTTATTATAAACATAAATATCTATATCAAGCTTTAAGATGTCTTTGACTTGAAAATACCTCCTGTGTGCAACCTAGAAGAGGGAATTTCGTGAGAGTTGGAGAGAAGGCCTTCAAGTGAAGGATTTGGGAAATTTTGTGAAGATTGCTTAGATTAAACTCAAGGTATGAAAATTTACTTTATCTAGCTACTCTCTCTCTTGATTATGGTTGGGAATTCTCTTTGTGTTTGGCAAGTTAAGGTAGGTGTTGAGGGTTTATGTGGTAATCTATATTAAAGAATCAAATTGAGTTATGGGGAGGAAATCTACATCTTATTTCCTTGTTATTTCATGAGAATATTCAATTATGAGTTTGAATGAGAAATAATTATGTAAACCCAAAATAATGAGAATTTTGGGAAGGTTATAATTGATGTTTATGTTTGATTCATGTATGATGCATGTTTGATTTATGAGGGTTTCTCATCAATTGGTTACTTTGACACTTTATTTGGGTGTTGTGTGAAATTATACTTCAACCTTTGGTTTTATATCATCATCCCATGGAATTATGTTAGTATCATGTGTTATGTTTTCTTTGAACATGAAGAACTTGAATATAAGAATGGAATTTGAGAAAGGGATGGCTTGTTGAAGCTTCTAATCTAGTTTAATTTGTTATGTTCAAGGTGGAATCTATGTTATGGTGATGTTAGGTTGAAATATTGCATTAATCTAACCTTGGATTGCATGTAAAATAAGGTGTTGTTGCTAAATTTCGAGTTGAAATATTGGTTACTTTGACACTTTATTTGGGTGTTGTATGAAATTATACTTCAACCTTTGGTTCTATATCATCATCCCATGGAATTATGTTAGTATCATGTATTATGTTTTCTTTGAACATGAAGAACTTGAATATAAGAATGGAATTTGAGAAAGGAATGGCTTGTTGAAGCTTCTAATCTAGATTAATTTGTTATGTTCAAGGTGGAATCTATGTTATGGTGATGTTAGGTTGAAATATTGCATTAATCTAACCTTGGATTGCATGTAAAATAGCTCTGGTTCTCAAAACCCTACTAAATTCAAATTAACTCTCGAATTTTGTTTATTCTATTAACAGGAATGTTGAAACAGACAAGTTACAGAGCTCCAACAACTCAGATGATGGCCAGAGAAAATCACAGTGGTGAGTATGTGATTTGGTCAGAGAAATTTGGGAATTTCGCTGATTTGGAGAGAATTTCTTTGTGAAGTCACCAGAGAATTTCTCTGTGAACTAGAATTCTCTGTGAAGTCCAGAGAAAATTCAACCAAAGTGAATTTCTCTTAATTGAATTTTCTTTGGTTTGGACCAGAGAATTTCTCTGGATTAAATTGAATTTTTTCTGGTTTTGGACCAAAGAATTTCACTAGATTGAATTTTCTCTGGTTTGACTTGAAGGGCCTTAGACATTATGAAAATATTAGATGTCCTTTATGCTTTAAAGTCTTAATATCAAGGATCTTAAAAAAAAATCTCCTTTAATTTATGCTTAATATCTTCTAAAATATGAATAGTTCACATCATAAGGCCTTCAATTTGCAGTTTAAAACATAAAATATGAACAGATCATTAGCAGTCAAACAGATAGACATGCATTCAAACTAACACACTCAATCAATCAGTCAGAATTCCAGTCAATCAGTCACTTAACATGTTTAATCATAGATTAGCACTAATCAGTGGTGAGGGTTGTCACATCTAAGGTCCCTCTCCCATATTTAGTTATGGAAGAGATCCACAATTTTATTTTATAATGTCTAAGGTCCCTCAACTCCCACACCCATATATCACAGAGAAATTTGACTCTCTCGAATCAAACCTCTTTCTTTTTTTTTTTTTTAAAAAAAAAAAAAAAAAAAAAAAAAAAAAAAAGGTTTTACATGACTTCTTAATTCTTTATGCTTTCACTGTGGTAGTTGTGTCTTTCCTTCCACTATTATCTTCTGGGTTTGTGATTGGCATTGTGTTTGAGAGTTAAATAGTACAGTATCCATGGCAGATTCCCTTAGTGAGTCCACTACCTCTCAGCCACCTAAGAGCGAGAGTTCCATTATACCTCCTACTATGACTGATAACCTCTCTATTCAATGGTTAGAATTACCTCGCTTGATCGTAGAGTTTGACTATTTTTTTTAAGAGCAGAGGGAAAATAGGATGTGTTGATGGAAGGATACAGGCACCTAGTACCACGGATTCTAGTTATGACCAGTGAGCTAAGAAGCACGGGTGCGGGTACGAGTACAGTACGGGTACGCCGATACGGCAAAACCCCAAAAAAGTAGGGTACGGGTACGGCTGCGGTACGCCGATTTTTTTTTTATTTTTTTTTTTTTTATAATTATGGTTAAAAGATCCAACCTACAAATTGAAGTTAAATATCAAAACTAAAAAGAGAACTATAAAACTAAGAGACAAATATTAATATATTTGAATTCAACATAACCAACACCAATTCAGTCCATAATCCAAGCAAAGGAAAAACAACCAACAACACCAAAAGAAAAACAAGGCCAATTCAGTCCATAACACAAAGAAAGGAAAAACAAACAAAAGAAAGCCCTATATTATATATCTAAACTTGGCACTTCAAAGTTCACTTCCATCAACTTCATCATTGAATAAAATAGCTTCCATCTCTGGCTCATCAAGTGAAAGATTTGCAATTTCAAGGAAACTAGAACCCTCCAATGAATCAAATGCATCTCCCCCAACGTCCCATAACTTGGTCTCTCCTTGTGTGTATAGTTGACTCCTCCTTGATAAGAGGCGAATATTGGAGTGCACAAAAACCAAATCCTCGCACCGTTGTGGTGTCATTTTATTCCTCCTCATAGAGTGAATGAAAGAGTAGGTGCTCTAATTCCTTTCACAACATGATAAGGAACATGGTTGGCTAAGTAATTTCACTGCCAAGGATTGGAGCATAGGTGCAGAAGAGCCATGTGCCAACCACCAAACCACTGGTTCCATCACTCCTCTATCACATATTGAGTCAGAGTCACTAAAACTTTCCAAACAACCTAAAAACTTCGCATACTCTGTATTAGCAACCCTTCTCTCATCTGAATCAGGAAAGTATCTCTTAAAACACTTGATTCTCATCTCAGAAATTTCAACATCTTTGTGAGGAGGAACACGAATGGGATTTTCATGAAGCCACATCCCACTATAATACCTAGATTTCATAATTAGAAAAAAATAATAAGTAAATTATGCAATGAAAAAAATTAAAGTATAAACCTTGGATTCATGAGTCTAATGTGAATTATACCTTGGATTCAAGGAATGAGTAAGGCAATGAAGAGGTGTGCTACTTTTTGTCCACCTTTCCACTAATATTTGATGCACTACAGAATAAAATGATGACTCTTCATTTTCTGACTTCCCTTCACGCCTATAGATGGATGCCTTCACCCGTTCAATCATTGAATCCCACATCTCATAAACCAAATGTAGACATGGCTTATCAGTGTCACAAAATCTAAACATCTCATAAATAGGCAATGTGAATGAGAGTATATATTCTGTTAAAATTGTAGTATTATTGATTGTTATTTGATACATAAATGTTGTGTATATTACAAGGATTTATATAGGAGAGGATTTGGGAGTAGGTGAAGATGGTAGTGGAGGTGGTAGGTGGAGTGTAGTAGGTAAGGGTGAATTCTAATAGCCCCCCGCAAACTCAAGGAGGATAGAAACTAACCAACTTGAGTTTGAAGAGAGGAAGAAAACAAGAAAATACATAAAAATAAAAATAAAAAAAAAAAAGATAGGAGACACTGTATGGTCGTGTCAGACCGTTGGTGA